TTGGTCTGCCGAAGAGAATGAGCTCGCTATACACGCGCTGTCCAAGTTCGACCCAACCCAATTCGATATGAAGGGTCACCCTGCATGGACGGAGCTCGAGACCTTTGCCCAGGTTTGGGCTCCAAGGATCAAGGTTTCTCAAGATATTCATGAGTGGATCAAACATCATTGCGAAGATCCCGACAAGGAAATCAGGTAACCTGATGCCATGAGCATTCACTGCCTTGCCGCTCTGTCGCTGTACCACACCGGGCGAGTCCACCAAAACTTGAAAGAGCATCTCGAGTCCACAAAGCTGATATCACTCATCCACGGTCATAGAGACCGAGTCCGCATACGTTGTTAATCTCGACCCCAAGGGCCCTCCAAGGTCCTTGCTGAATTTGATGGCCAAAGAAAGATCGTATATAGTCGAGATGGCCTGTAAGCACGGCAAAGAGGCAGATCCCAACATCAATCACCCCCAGACCAAAGAGTCGTTCATGTATTACGTCCGAAATCCCTTTTCTGCTGAGTGGGACTGCCGTGGATTCCCACCCCAAGATTCCAAGCTGATCGACGCACGTTCGCACCGAAAGTCATTCCATCAGGTAATGGCCGAAGCCTCCCGGGATAACGAGTGGAATCTTGTTATATCTAGAGGACCAAAACTACCATCCGCCACCTTGACAACCGGAAGCGCAGGGTAACCCGGATGGGCCAACTCCCTCGAGAGTTTCAAAAAGGAGATGGAAGCAGCACCCAAGAAGCAGGCCGACGATGCAGCCAACATTCGGACGGCGCTGGACAAGCAGACCGAAAAGACAGCCCAGCTCGACGAAACTCTCACCAGCGTCACGACCGGCGACACCCGAAGCCTGCACAAGGAGGGGGTCCTCTCGGCTGTCTATCAGCTGAGCCAGTACAGACACCAGACATTCCGTCCGGGCTGGGTGGATTACATTCTCAGGGGCTCGACGGTGGAGCATTCGGATTGAACCTACGTCAAGGATGACGATATCTACACGCGGTACACCCAAGGCCCCCTGAAAGAATTCGAGGTGCCTCTCGACACGATCACACCTGCGAAGCGGCGACAACTTGGCGTCGAGCTTGGGCACGACGGCAAGTACAAGTACATCATGGGCGATGGCCCGCAAGGAGCGATCGCTGCTTCCGACGAGAAGAAACCGGACGAGCCCGACGCCAAGAAGAGGAAGTTGGCCTGAGACAAGAACAGGAGCAGGCCATCCTAGGTACCTAGGTATACTTGGAGGGCAGGCAGCTCAAGCTCGGAACCGAGGATGATGACATGGAGTGTAGGGGCGCGGGTCGCCCAATGGCACTTGACCATGTAGAAAGGCCTCGCACGCATTCAAAAACAACTTACGGGGATGTCGCCAAGGTGAGGTGTGTTAGTTGCAGAGATAAGGTAAGGTACCTTCCACCAAGTACCGTACCTTCCCACTGGGAAAGGGACCTGGGCGCGCCCCTTCTGTGGAAGGAGGAGACCCCCCAAATGCTCCACTGATTTGACGTGCTTTGCAGCAAGCCTCCCAGACTCTTGCAACCTCCATCCTGCAACATTGCCATTTTGCATCGCTCGTTACATCACTTTCACTTTATCCCAAACTATCTCCGAGCAACCGCAAGCAGGCAGCAGCCATGGCACCGACACCGAAGGCAAAGAGCGCCAAAACAAGGGCAAAGAGCAGGGCGGCAAAGATCCGAATGTTGGCGTCAATACGCTCCCAGGTCCGACAATTCGCCGAACGCACTTGGAGGCGCGCCGCCCGCAAGCGTGCCGCCCGCAAACGCACTCGCGCTGCCATCTCTAGTGACGCCAATCAACCCGCTCCCTCGAACGAGAATGAAGAGAAGTCGGATACCTCCATGTCTAACGCCCCAACGCCTGCCGAGACAGCCAGCTCTACGGGCACCGCAGATGACAGTGTCGAGTCATCGAGCACGGATGAGTCGGATACCCCCATGTCGAGCCCCCCAGAGCCTGCCCAGACGGTGACCTCCACGAGCGGCGTAAGGCTGAGAGGGTTGCCAACATCAAAGGATGACTTCACCGCCAAGAAACAAGAGTACAAGGAGTGTTGCGAGGGGGCCTTCAGGCTATTCAGCATATCTCTGGAGGACGTTGCCAAGGTGGAACCCTTCAAGCAGTATCTTGAGCTGAGGAAAGAATACGCAGGTTGGGTCCCGTCAAAGCCAGGCGCCACTCAGCCCTTGCCCTTCCCCCCCGCGGTTAAGCGGTATTTCAAAGAGCACAATGTTATATTTGCAGCCCCGGAGGTAAAGACCAAACTACGCAGAGCAACAACCGAAGAAGAGGCTCTAGCACTTGTTCCGGAGTGGAAACAGAGCACTATACACGCGTTGGTCCGCGGGCCTGTGACAAACCTGACGCGCATTTCCGGATGGGCTGACGAAATTGGGGCGTATGGTCGGGAACTGGTCGACTGGGCTGAGGGAATCAAGTCGGATGTTCATATGGTTCTATTGAAGATGCCAGAGGATGTCAAGCGTGACGTGGATCTGTACATCGAAGCGGAAGAGAGAGCTGGCGAGGGGGATAAGAATATGCCAGAAAGTGGAGAGGAAGATGACAAGGGGGGAGTGGATATGCTGGGAGGAACTTCAGACAAGACGGGCGAAGGCAGTTCGAGTGGGGAGATTGCACAGGAGCAGTAAGGGGGGGTGAAAGCTTGAGCAGTGCTCCAGCGTGGTCTATCTTCAGCGTTTTAAACATCGTTTGCAATACAGCCCCTGTTCCCTTTTTGGGAAGGGGGCCTCTTTGATGGCGTGTCGTTGACAACAGAGCCACGCGTGATGTGGCGCCTGCTGACAGATCCATTCGTATGTCCCTAAGACCCCAATGAAATGGTGATGGCGATCCAAATAATGGGCCAAGCGAGTGCATATGTAGCACCTTTCGGAGCTGCTATAAGAACGAGGTGATAAACCACTACACCACTGGACGGGAAGAGGAACAGAGTGTCACACAGCGCTTCGGCAAGATTGAGCGTCTTCACACTTTGCGTTTGTGTTGTTGCACCCTGTCGGATAATGGTGTTTTAAGCCAAGATCAGGGACCGTTTATCAACCCGAAACGACCATATCAATTGTTATTTGCGGTCGTGCATATGTCCGTCTGCATCTTGGTTGGCGCATCCGCATTGTGTGAGTCACTGGGGATTATTGGTTGGGCTGAGATCGAAAGGGGCTGTCGCCAGGTTTATTGCGAGTCTGTTGTTCTTTCAGAAGGATAAATCTCCGCCAGGTGGTGGGTAAAGATGTGTTGTGGCTAAGGGGGTGAAAACCGTTGTCGGGGAGATGGAAGGGAGAAAGGAGATGTTGTGGAGGGTCAAGTGGGAGTGGGGCTGTTTTTCCCCCCCTTCTTCTTTTCCGCCGACTGCTCCCGCAGTCTGCTGACGAGGGGATTTTTAACTACCTACAATCTGAACTGCGATGTGGATGTTGGTGGTCGTTGGGGTTTTCGTGGTTTTGATGTTCCTGGGTGGTGGGTGGGGTGGGCGGTGGGGTAGGCCCAGCCACCAGCCTGACAGCTATTATCTCTGCAAGCACAGCCCCTATTTTCGAGCTTTGCAGCCACAGAGCCAGGAGAGCCAGGGGGGTGGTGGCTAGTGTAGAAAAAAAGGGCCCGTGCCAATGTATAAGTGTGTCTGCACCGAGGAACACTCGAGAATAGGGTCTGTGGCTGGACTGCGCGAAAACGCCATAGCTGTCATAAGTAACAAACCGTAACAACATTCTCTAATTCCCAGCCCCCCCCCCCCCCCCCCCTTTACCGTTTTCAAAAACAAAAGCTATGCTGAAGATGGCCTGATTACGACGATTTCAAATATGCAGTCGGATTTTGATTTGGAGCGATATTGCTGGAGATGTAACTTCAAAGAGAAGTTAAAATTTTCACAAATTCTAAATCAAAAAAGGACCGCAGGAACGATTTTCACCAATATAACAGTTCTGGAAAAAAAAATTATATACTAGGTTATAAAAATGTAAAGTCTACCTCAGGAGTTAATTTTTTTTATATAGAAACCTTTCCGTTATAAAAAGGTAAAGCAAAAGGAAAAATAAAGGTTTTTTTTTCTTTTTTTTCTAATACAGTATAATCTTTTTATAATAGGAGTTTTATTTAAATTACTAATTTTTAAAATAATTAAGTACTATTATATAAATTAAGTTAACTTCATTTTTTTCAGCTTGATTAATACGATAGTAACACCAACATAACTCACCAATATCGTCTGGCCTACGCGGCTATAATAATATTTTCTATTTATTTTGATTACGTAACATAATATTACTGTAGGTGCGAGGGGTTATGATAAAGTTTCTGTTACAGCTAAGGGCCAGCTGGTTATCAAACCTTATTGCTAAAACAGAGCTTATAGTGGTTATAATAAACAACAGTATCGTTAAGCGCGAGTGAGCGTTAGGGTTGGATTAAGTGAGGGTTAGGGTTAATACACGCATTACACACTCGTGAGGAAAGAAAATGTCTGAATTACAGAGAAAGAACGCAGAGTATTGCGTTATAATGTCTTTTTTTTTAAGAAGCTAGCTCCTAGCATTGGATCTATATATTAAAGTTAATAATTATAAAATAATATCTTAACTTTAAAATTTTTAAAAACAGTATTAAAACAGCTTATAATATTAGTTAATTATATATAAAAAGAGATTTTGAAAGTAAAAGGTATTTAATACGTTTTTAATATATTAAACTAATAAATTATACGTATTTATTATTATATTGTAAATATATTATATATTGATTACTTATAATTAAAATTATTATTTTAAAGTGTTATTAAAACGTAATTTCTACTATTTCAGCTATATAATTACCACTGCTACAGAGCCTTAGACAAAAGGTGTGGATAATGGCGACCTTGGTGATGTGGGACTGGAGTTGACCTTTGCCCCCCCACTGTGTTGGGGTCATAAGCTAAAATCTCACCCCACCAATCAATTCAATTCTTGATCCTGTGGTGTAGTGGTTATCACATCGTTCTTATAGCAGCTCTGCAAAGTGCTACTCATGTCATGCGAATGTCCCGGGTTCAATCCCCGGCAGGATCAAATTTTTTTGCACATCTTTGATGACATGCCATCAAACATCTCAATCGGTCTTGCCGTCCCTGTTCATTCTTTACCATACCCGACCGATGTCCCTGTTCATCTGAGCAATTAGGTCCTCAAGGTTCTTGTTTGCCTCCTGAAAATATCTTCGCTGCAGTTTCAAGAGGCAAAGACACGGCTTCGCGCTGCCAGGTCATTTGCGAAAGCCTGCTCTGACGAATACAATGCGTATGGAACGAGGCGGCAAGAATACCATGCCGCCGAACAGACACGCAAGGCGGAGATCGATGCGCGAGTGGAGCAGTTGCGTCGAGAACTCGCTGATGCTGAGGCCGAGCGAGAGAATAGCTTAGTCAACGTGAGTCACGAGCTAAGGAAAAGCGAAAGAGGAAATCTTCCCCCTTAACACCAGGTGCGAGCAAAAAGACGAAGGAGAGCACGACTAAAGCGCATTCAACTGCAATCACGTCTTCCTCAGCCCCGTCGAAGCCGAATAACGCGAGCGAGACGCCACAAAAGCCTCTCATGCTCAAAGGCACCAGCCCTTTGTCTTCTTTAACTCCGTCGAAGCAGAAAGTATCAACCTTTCCCTCCACAAACAATACGAGTTCAAATGTAAAGCGCGCACGCCGGGAGCCCCAAGATCTTGATGGGTCACAATATCTAACTGTGGTGCAGACGTCTGCGACCCCCTCTGCCGCAAATACGTCGACGCCAAATACTGCACTTTCAGAGCCCGTTGATAAGGCGATGAACAATCCGAGATCGCAATAGCAAGGGCAGCCTCCGAAGAATACGCCCCAAGGCCCAAAGAAGACGGCTCAAGCACCGAAGAATCTGGCAGGCAATGCAAAGTCGGGTGGCAAGGCGACTGGTAACAAGTAGACGGGAAAGGTATGGAAAGGAGTGGATTGCGATAATTTTAGGCGCATTTAATTATGTTCGAAGGGGAGAATGAAATGTTTTTTTTTTTCCTTTTCTTCGTTCTGGCGAGGAATCCGATGATGCCATCGCGAAAAGAGGCGATATTTTTCTCCCAGGGCACAGCTCGATCCGCCAGTGTTGATGGCTACTGTCTGGCTACCATTTTGTTGCTTTTTAGGTCTTGAGTTAATGGCGCGAGGGTCATGACTTCCGCATCGACCGACGTTTGGTCAGGGCTGAGTTGATACTAAAATACGCGGAGGTTCGGGCGCTATATGTGTTGAAATGCGAGGAATCTTGGTGTGTAATGCCCGTTGACCCTCCTTGTGACCAATCACCTAGGATGTGTCTGTGAAAATGCCCTTCTACTCGCCAGCTAATACGTCCATCTAAAGTGGACCCGAGTTGACATCAACGGGAGTGTTAGGAAGTGCTACTTACCATTCTTAATAATATCAGAATTTATTGCATCTAATAATAATAAGCCAGCTCCGTCTGTTAGGTCTGGGTGAGTGTGACTCCCGAGGCCTCAATATCTGACAAGCCTGTGGTCCCTTGTGCACATCTGATCTGGATGTGGATATCTCCCGCCTTCTTGATCCGGCCGACATGATTCAAGAGTCTCTTCGCGCTCTGGAATACTTTGTCGCAATAAGGACAGGGGTAACTGTGGATACCCTCTTCCTTCATTTTTAATTCCACCCGTCGGACCCATTTGCTTCAAGATGTTCTGGCCAGAGTGAGAGGCTCTTACCTTCTATTGTTCTGTAACCGTCTCGTCTCGTATACACTCCTCGCACTGGAGAGGATTGTTCTTCCAGTCATTGGCGTGCGACATCTCGTTCCCCATCAAGAGGCGCATGAAGGATTCCGCAACCTGATCGTAGCCCGTATCCGCTTGAGGGCTAACGGTATCTTCACCGTCGACGACGCAAAGAAGGTCTTCGCCAGTGTCGTTGAGCGGGGAGTCTTCGATGTCCACCTCTGCTGCGTCGTCGTCAAAACCTTCCCACTCCTCTTCCTCGTCCTCGAAATTGACGAATGCACCTTGGCTTGGCGTGTTCGCAAGTCTCGCTCGGGCGTCACACAGCATCTTTTCGATAAAATCACAGCGATACAAACCCCTACAATTCCGTCTATTCTAAGGTTGTGTCTTTCGGCATCCCCTCAGCCTCTCCCAGCCCAACAACCCATCCCGCAGTTCAGCGCCTCTGTTTGGTAGACGCCAATCGCCATCCCATAACCCCGGTGACATTCTTCATCAAGGTCATACTGAGGTAAGAAAAAAATCTGCCCAAAAGCATCAAATGTACGACTTACAAGCATCCTAGGTCACAGTCTTTCAAGTTCTTTCTCGTCCACAGCTTCTCGATTCTCACCAAGCCAACAACTCATCATACAAAACGGCGCTTCAGTTCGGAAGGGGTACCAAACACCGTCCCTCGATCCTCGCATCCTCAGTGACGATTTGACCTGGATCATTTTGAAGTAAGAAGGTTCCTACTAAGGTCATGCAGCTCAACACTAACCAGGCGCAAGCAACAGAGTTGGAGGCGCAGCGGCACTACAACAGGAACTGAGACTCCACTCACAACACGACGTACCTCTTACGTCCATCGCGGCATGTTTCAAGATGGGTCTGGCCATAGTCGAGGAATCGGCCATGGACGTCACTGCTTATTTCCCCCACCTCGGACACACGTACGACGACTATCTCGACGCCCTGTCCGATGAAGTCAAGAAGGCAAGCCCGGACCTTTTGTTGTTGGCAACATACCAAAACCTGCGGGACTTCGTCGAAGATTACCGGGCTGGACAACAGAAGGGGGACTCCGACGAAAAGGATGGCAAAGGCTATCGGAACATGGAACCCGCTGCTGAATCTCATGTTGGCTTCGACGGAAGAGAGGCTCGCTTGGCAACGTCTGTATACAATAAACTGGCTCTACGAGCTAGCATCAGTGTACAGATCAGGCGGAAATCGACACGACAAGCGATTCGATAAGGACTTCTCCACGAACGACCCGCATGGTGTGTCTGACCCACTGTTTGGCATGGCGCATCTCGCAAGCACGGTGACAAGCCGTGCGATGGAGAAAGGGGACCTTCTCGATACCGACAGCTTACATATCCCCCTGGTGGATATCTTCGTGCTTCAATGCTCGGTGGGCTTGGCTACGTACTGCCGAGGCTGGGACGGAACCACGGGCAATATAAGTGTTAGCAGCACTGACTCACGACTCGTCATCGACCCCGTCAACATTGACTTCACGACAAGTCTGCGGAAGCTCGACACCTCGCACAACGAGACGGTCAACACTTCGAACAACCGGGGTAGCATTGACAACATGCTGCGATGCTTCACCTCCAAAAAAGCGGATCAAGCTTGAGCAACAAATCCGATTATCCTGTCTTCCAAGATTATTACTAAAATTGTACCGGCTGCCCCACAAAGGCGCGGGAAGCGTATGTTACATGGATCGACAACCCGGGGAGAGCGAGTGGACATCACCGCAGTTCTCAGAGGCATCGTTCCCTCAACCGTATGTTCATTCGGCCTCCGACTCCGACTCCTCTGACTCCTCCTCGTCGTCTTCATCTCCATACTCGTCTTCGTCTTCGTCCTCGTCTTCCTCTCCCTCTCCCTGCCCCCGTCCCAGTACATCAGGGAACTCCTCATCGATATCTCTATCCCCAGACCCGCTCTCATCATCCTCGATCTCAACGACTTGACGGGGTTGTTGGGGGGGGGGGGGGGGGTGCAACACTACCAGCCCGCGAAGGGACCTGACTCCCGGCTCGCGAGGGCAGCTGCTGCGTTTGCTGCAGCGGCGTCGGAGGCGGAGGTTGAGCGCCTCGCATGTTGGGATGACCTGGCATCGGCACTGGCGGCTGTAGCGCCACGACAAACTGCAGTTTGTACTCCTCCATCGTAGCGCGGGCGTCTGTCTCGGCCTGCGCGAGTTCCTGCTCGTGCTTCTCCCGCACAACTCTCATGTCTTTGTTGCCCGGGCCTCGGGTGAGTCCCTTGGGAAAAGCTTGGAGCGGTTCGCCCTTGAGCGCCCAGGGCTCCGGGTAGGGCACGTCGGGGTGCCAGCGCGGCGCCCAGGGCGGGTGGGCGTCATACAGGGATTTCGCAGACTTGCCTGTCGCCGCTGCGGATCATGGTGTCAAGGATGTTGCGCATCCATTCGATGCCCTTTTTGAAGTGCTCCTCGGTCGGGTAGTTCGTGCGCTTGGCGGCGCGGACTTCCTCGATCATGCGAGGGACTTCGGCGCGTAGCTAATAAGGGCTGCCGGGCAGGTGGAGGCGGCAGCCGCTTGTTTCGCGTAGTAGTATGCGTCAACAGGCAATGGCTGCCATTGTGCGCCGTCCAGGTCCCGGAAGACGAGAAGCTTGTTGTAGCCCAGGCTGCGCATGTATGCCCACACAGGGCCGGACACTGTCTCCGAGAGAATGCTCCAGCAGGTCTGGAAACGCATCTTTAGAACAGTGGCTTCAACGGTGAGGGGCTTGGGGAAGACGCCGAAGCGCGTGGTCATCTCACGATAGCAACCACAAGCGCGCGCCATGGACTCGACTTGGTCCTTCCAAAGGGAGACGTGGCCGGAGCTGTCGAAGACGATGGTGTTCATGCCGAAGGAGAACTCGTCTGGTGGCGGGTGCTTGAAGACGTCCCCAAGTGGCCTGCATATCTGCGGCGCCGCGACCAGGAAAGGGGGCAATAAGGGGAGCCTGCTTGTATCGACAGGTGGGTCGGGCCGTCGCCTCTTGGGGACTGGAAGGTGAGGTGGGGGGAAGGGGACGGGTGGCCGTTTCGGTGGAGGCGCCGGAGCACCAGTCTAGCGTGGAGGGGGCGGTGGTGGCATCGGCTGCTGAGGCGGGGGTTGGGCTCGACCGCCTCGTGCCGGAGCTCGAGCCCGGCCGCCCCGGCCCCCGCCCCGGCCCCGACCGGGAGCTGGACCGGGCGTTCCCGGATGCGACCCAGGAGGTGGCCCGTTCAGGAATCTGGGACCTGGGCTACCGATGAAGGATGGGCTCGGGCTGTGGATCGCACTGGGGATATTGCCAGGCG